CTACCTTCTTCACAACTCCCTCCATTAGTCGCTTCTCTCTGGCCGTCATACTTTGTACATCATGTTGCTCGTGTTCAACAGTGTGGATCAGTCTTATTTGTGTCTGTCCATCGCTCTGTCCGTCTCAAGCGTTGTGAGCTCTCGAAAGTCCCGTCCTGGTTTTCTGTGTATTCTAGGGTTGAGTTCAGTGGCAGCCACTGGATAGCCCATCAATAGTATTGATTGAGTAAACAAACACATCCTCCGCCCCAGCTCCCCTGAGTGGCTGACTGTGTCTGGCGGTTTGTCTTTGGGAAAGAAAATGGAAAGCTGGCTAAAACCTGGATGATCCTACTGAAACCGGCCTGTCTACCCTCATCCACTCTGAGAAAGGAATATACTTTATTATCAAAAGGTTTGGTTTGTGAATCTCACTGTGGCACCTCACTCCAGGATCCCCATCTTGTTGGTAATATATCCAGGTAACTATAACCAAAGCAAGCCGAGCCTTTTCTCCTTTGCTGAGGACTGTAGTGCTAATCCATCCCAGGGTACTAACAACTGAGAAAACCCCGACCAGAGAAAGGAGCCAGGAAACAGGGCATTCCCTAAGCCTGGAGAAGAGCCCTGCTCCTTCCGCCCCACGGAGACAGGAGCAAAGTGGGTTACTATGTGGACTGTGCTTGTTTCTCAAATACCCTGGTTGAGGATAATGAAAAGCTGTTTAACCAGTAGATCACTGTTTTTTAGCTTATCTGTAGTGTTGGTTTCTCAAATACCCTGGTTGAGGATAATGAAAAGCTGTTTAACCAGTAGATCACTGTTTTTTAGCTTATCTGTAGAACCCCGTGTTCTTTGTTCAGCTAGACATTGGCCTCTGTCCGGGTGTTTTTATATACAGATACCAGCAGGTTTTTTATTCCTTAGTTATTTTCTCGTTGGACTAAATCAGCACTCTAAATGTAAGCCAGATGACATCACAGACCTAAGCTATCAACCTGCTGACATATTAAACTTTATAGTAAGAATGGTGACTTCCAGCTTTGATCCCTACCGGTAGCTTCAGGGAAGTAAGTAGATCTAGTGTCAGCATACAACACTGTCTCATTTATAATGATTCTTGGAGTTTTGCTTGTATTAATATTTTATCAAGAAAAAAAAGTAACCATGACTTTAAGGAAATTTTGCTTAAAATGTTGTAAAATAAAAGGTGTGAAAACCAGAAAGTTGGGAGTTCCATACTTCATCATTGGTCAGATTAATGTTATCGTTTGTCTTTTGGGCAGTGTTTTTAGTGGGTTGCTTACAGATAGTGGTTTCTATAGCCACTATCATACATTGAAACAATGATACTTTGTGGTGGAGGACCTGAGGACCTGGGCTGTCTTAAGGAGCCATGGCCTTTGTTTTCTTTTTAGGAAAATCAGTGTATCCATTACAGTCAGAAAGACCTCCATGTAAGCAGAACGCCTGTCCTCCCAGTAATCTCTAGAAAAAAAATCTTTAAAATTGCCTTAAAATACTCTAAGAGGCTAAGCAACTGTTGTTACTGATTAATTTTTAGTGGAGAAAGGTATTTTTCCTAATCTGTACATTCTGAGGAAAACAACTTACGGTGATTTTGCGGTTGCCAGCTTGAGCATTGAAAATGTAGAGGTGTTTCCGGTTAAGCAGATTTTTGTGGCTCTGAGCATCTCTGCATTGTGGTGATCCAGGAGGAGGACTCCTGACTGACTTCACTGTGGCAGCAGGGTGCCCCAGGACTTCTGCCTTAGAGTAAACATGAGCTGCTGTGACTGTTAGTCCATCGGTGGAGGAGAGCTCCTGGGATGCTCTAGAAGCACCAGGTCCGGTGCTGTAGCATGAGAGTTGCCGTCTGTCTTTCAGGTGACCGAGGCGCTCCAGCTTAAGTGGGCGCCGTTTGTGATTGGTGTGGCATGGCCTTAAGCTGCCGGCTGTGCAGGTTCTGTCTGTTTTCAAAGGACAGGAGAGCAAGTGTGAAGCAATGTTCCTGAGATGGCTTTGGACGATAGTTAATAAAGTTATAATTGTGGATTACTGATACTTTCAATATAGGACAGTCTAAAAAGGTGGGACTAAAAATTTGAGCATTAGTTTGCTAGCTTTCTTAATTTAAAACTGAAAAGAAATAAAATGTGTGACTTTTAGATCAATCTGAAATGAAAGAGAAAGGTTCACAAAGAAGTTGATTGTGAGTTGTCATAAGTGGTACATGTGTGTAATCTTAGCACTTTGTAAGTGGAGACACGAGTTGTCATAGTGGTACATGTATTCCTAGCACTCAGTAAGTAGAGAAGGGAGGACCAGGAAGCAAATTGAAGGCCACCTGTGGTTGCATAGTGAGTTCAAGGCCAGCCTGAGCTACATGAGGTACTGTCTCAAAAATGGGTATTTTTTAATGGTGGTAGCTAAGTGATGGCCTGTGTTTAGTGTGTGTGAATCCCAGGTTCAGTCCCCAGAACAAGAACAAAGAAAAAAAGAAAGCAAGATGAAAAGAACACTCAAAAGAATTGCTTACTCTGGTTCGTAAAACTTCAGATTCTCAGATTGGATATTGAAAACCAAATTGTGTTTCGTTCATTTCCAGGCCCACTAGACAGGGGGGTGTTCTTCACTCGCCATGCTGGTGTGTATGGTTCTAGCCTCAGCTCCTGCCCCACACAGCTGGAAAGCGGAATGGGAGAGATTAAAGAGCAGTTTGCAGAACTTGGTCAGCAGGTAGTTGGGAGTGATGCCTGAGAGGTTACTCCTACAGTTGCCCCAGCCTTCTGCCTCCAGGTGTTCTAGGGACCCCACACGAGGATGGAGACCTGGACACTTCATTCTCACTGAAGTAAAGATCCAAAGAGACTGGAGCTACTAGAGCTGTGAAACCGGGCACTGAAGGTGGGAACTTCCCACGAAGCGTCCAGGGGTTCACTTCAGGTCCCCTGTGGCTTCAGCTGTCTATCAAGAGGTGTGTGCATTGAATGATGCTCCCTAGTTCAGGCTCAGCACAGCACCCAGGAGCTGTAACTGACGGCTACTAAAGTCTGGTCACCATGTTCTGACCCTGGTGACAAAGCCTTTTGAGCATCCAGGGGCATGGTGGCACCTGGAGAGGCCACATGTTCACAGTCAGGATGCAGACCTTCGCCAGCAAGGCTGCAGAGCAAGCCTGAATGGAGCCAGCTGGTTTGCCAGGAAATTAATTGACTCAAAACATTTTATAGGCAGATTAGAAAGGAAAAAAAAAATCTAGACAATGTTCCAAATGCCCAGAATCTAATTCAGAAGTCAATACATGTTTAATGAAGCAGAATAATGTGACCTCAAGCCAGAAAAAGCCTTCATCATAGGAGTAGACTCAGGAATGGCCAATGAGTTAGCAAAGATTTTTAAAAACTGTAGGAATCATTTACAAAGGCTCTTAGAAAATGTTAGGCAGGGCCGGGTGAAGCACAGTGTCTGTTTGAAATGCCAGGATAGAGACAAGGCTGTTCTTAAGATGTAAACGAGGTAAAAAAAGAAAAAGAAACCTGTTACGTTTGATAAAGTACACAAACCCGCAGATCTGAGAAGCGCAGTGAATCCCTGTACACCATTACAGCCAAGACTGTTGAGATTGACTTGCAAATGAATGAAAGGAACAAGAAAATAGTGAAAGCCTCCAGAGGATAAACACACATTACATGTAGATAAACAGGGACACGAAAAGACAGCTCTGAAGCAGTGACTGCCCACGAGCAATGCCAAGACGCCTCCCTGTGAGGCCTACTCTGGTACTCTTCTTAAAGCTACAGACCTTCGCCGCATGTCCTGACTCCTTTACTAAGACCTCTTCCTGTTCCTCATGACATTTGTCCATGAGGAATGTGTGGCATAGTTCCATATTTAAGTGTTTGTCTTCTCTGTTAGTTGTGACATTTCCCTGAGTTGTTCGCTAATACATCCTTAACAAAAGAGACGTGAGTTTGTATATAGATCCGTAGACTCTGTCTATGGAATGACCAAATAAAAGAGGAATAGTTGGTAACTCTAACAGGGTTCTCTAGGGAACAAGGACCAACAGAGAGACAGAGACAGACAGAGAGAGAGAGAGAGAGAGAGAGAGAGACAGAGAGAGAGAGAGAGAGAGACAGAGAGAGAGAGAGAGAGAGAGAGAGAGAGAGAGAGAGAGAGAGATTGTGTGTGTTTATAAAGACAAAAGAATTTTAAGA